CACATCTCATTCTCCTCATCTCTCTCATCATTCACACTCTTATCTCCTCTCATCTCATCACATCTCATCTCATCTCATCTCCTCTCATCACATCTCATCTCCTCACATCTCATCTCATCTCCTCTCATCTCCTCTCATCACATCTCCTCTCATCTCCTCTCATCACATCTCAGCTGCTGAGGTTCAATTCATCCACATGGAGCGAGCAGGACTCACAGGGAGTGTGACTGGTGAAGAAGAGGAAGGACACTCCAGGATGAAGCCTCCACTTCCCCTGCTCCTCCGCCTGACAGAACACAGCGCTGCCCCCCCCACTCACGGCCCTGTGCAGCTCCTGGATCAGGTACCTAAACACACACACACACACACACACACACACACACACACACACACACACACACACACACACATACACACCACACACACACACACACACACACACCACACACACACACACACACACACACAGCAGTCTATATACTCGTTTGTATGTACGCATCAGCATGAAGCACCGAGGAACATTTGCAGCAAATACACACCTGACACACCCCCTTCTTGCAATGACTTCTGCATGGCTGTCATTAAGTATTTCACCTACATAAAAGACAGAATCAAGGAAAACTCAAATTAAATAATTGATAAAAGATTGTTTTCATTGTTCATCATGCTGTAATGAATGTCCCACATGAATGTATTTGTTTTATTCTAAGGACAGATAAATGCAAGATTTCAGTGAAGGTTTTAATCAATCCTCACTTTGGACTGCAACAGGGGTAATTGTAAAAAGAAATATAAAGAACATATCCTGTGGTGACAACTTTATTTGTTTGTCTATGGGGGTTATTCCCTATCTTTATTCAAGAGCGTGGTCTTTAGATTTGAGAGCATACTTTATTGATTTCACGTTCAGAATATGTATTTCTTTCCCTCAAACCCTGTCCTCGCACTCAAATGGTGGCTGATTGTGCTTAGATCTGCTCTGCTGCTGCTCAAACTGTATGCTTGCACTCAGATATATTGCTGCTTACAGATTTCCTGGGTTCCAGTTTAAAACCTTCTCCTCGCACTCAGGCTGTTTCTGTGCGCTCGTGAAATGTCTGCTCTCAGATTTCTTCTGTGCGCGCTCGGATCTTTGGTGCATCAACCCTGTCAAAATCCCTCAACCAATAAGAGGCCTGGTGTCCTTGCGAGTGCGTTCGCTTTACTTATGGTACGTTCGCTTTACTTATGGTTTATAAACTACCGCCCTCCACGGCTTTATGTACTTCACTTGTTTAATTTACAACTTTTTTTGGGGGGGGGGGGGGGGTAAGCACAGTTATATATTTATAAAACGGACAAGTCAAGTCAAGCAATCTGATGTTTCTTAGCCGTGATTATAATGAGCGTATATCCCGGGTATAATTGTAATTACTTTTCAGAAGTCAGTATCCCTCCGCGTCTGAGAAAAGCTACAACCGTACAACTGTTACATTACGTCCGTTACGAAACTAACTAACAAACAAGCTTAAGATGGAAACATTTAAGGTTAACTTCGACCTCCGGGGTGGCCTTACTATGGAGGAGTCGATTGAGAAGTGCCTATCTCCAGAAAAAAAAGCACCTAATATGTTCGCTAGCTGTTATTGTTGTTGCATAGCAACCACCTCGCACTATGTTTTGTGCAGAAGGCAACGGAGGGACCATTTAATTGTATTCCCGGGCTGATTTTTAGTCCCAGTCCGCCACGGAACGTAGCTATTATGTAAGGTGCTGGTATATATATACTAACTGTGCTTCCCCCCCCCAAAAAAAGTTGTAAATTAAACAAGTGAAGTACATGCTATGTTATAAAGCCGTGGAGGGCGGTAGTTTATAAACCAAAGAGTAACCGCCCTTACGGGACGCTCTAATAAGTAAAGCGAACGCACCCGCAATGACACCTGGCCTCCTATTGGTTGAGGGATTTTGACAGGGTTGTTGCACAAAAGATCCGAGCGCGCACAGAAGAAATCTGAGGTTACCTACTGTAACGGCCCGTCCACACTACAGCTTCGACAGCTTCAAAAACGGTTTCCAACGCGTCTGCCCATTCACTTTGAATGGAAGCAGAGCAGAGCTTTCCTGGCGTTTCAGGCTGCAAAAGTTGAGCAATGTTCATCTTTTGAAGCTTCTGAAGCTTTCGGTGGAAGCGTCAGCCAATCAAATCATATGCCAGTACAAGCTCTAGCCAATCAAACCGCTGCTTGTGTGTCAGGGGCGGGAGATTCATGTGATTGGTTGTTGGTCGAGCTTCAGACACGCCGAGCTCCAAGCTTTTTTTGAAGCTGTAGTGTGGACGGGCCGTAACCCCAGCTTCTATGAGTAAATGGCGCAGCCCTCTAAGGCTATCGCTATTGGGTAATCCCCCTGCGCCCCCGCGCAGCACTGAAAACTTGTAGTCCACGCCCACCGGCAAGGTGGGCCCCACCCTCGGGCCTCCTTCCGGTATAAATAGGAAGGAGGCCCGGCAATCTGCTCCCATACAAAATCACTTTTCTTCAGCTATTCGTACAGCCAGTGGGGCCCCGCACTTAGAGGGCTTCGCCATTTACTCATAGAAGCTGGGTTACAGTAGGTAACCTCAGTTCTATTTCGTATATGGCTTCGCCCTCTAAGGCTATCGCTATTGGGTTAAGGGCGAAGCATGATGTAGTCTGCGCCCCACTGGGTCCGCCCGGCACTAGAAGCACAGACACACCTGCTCAATAACACCCCCTGCCTGTTGTGCCATGCGTAATGGCGCATCACCGTCCCTGGAACATAGCAAAACATGCCTATCTTCCCGACGGGGTGAAGGCTGTGAACAATACATACCGGCCACGAAGGTCCCACCTTGTCCTGCGATCATAGAGGGGGAACAGCAGCTCTCTGCGTGTCAGACAGGTAGGAGAGCGCCCAGCTGGATCCCTGACGTCACTCACTCTGACCAGGCACTCCGTACAAAGTGTGTCAGAGGAAAAAGGAACATCCCTCCTATAAGAGGGGAAAAGGGCCGCTCTCCACGTGCCGAGAGGCAGGAGAGAGGCGCACAGCTGGCTCCCTGACGTCACTCACTCCGACAGGACACCCAGTACAGGGTGTGTCAGAGAGGAATGGGAGACATCCCTCAAATAAAAATGAATAAATGAACAGGGGGAAGATCAAGATGCAGCAGTGCAAATATCTTCCACTGACATTCCTCCGTGCAACGCCGTGGAGGAGGAAATTCCTCTGGTGGAGTGCGTATTGATGTTCTCCGGGGGCTCCACGCCAGAGGAGACATATGCCTGTGACACAGCCTCACACAGCCAGTGTGACAGCCGTTGTGCAGACAGAGGTTGCCCGATTGAGCGCTCTCTATAGTGCACAAACAGGCGCTGAGAACGGCGCCAAGCCGCCGTGCGCGCCACATAGCAGGACAGCGCGCGCACAGGACAGAGGAGATGAGACGTGGCTTCTTCCTCCGACCTGTAAGGAGGGGGGAATAAGCCAGCCAGGGTGATCACTCTTGACCTAAAAGAGTTGTGATGACCTTAGGCATGAAGCCGGGTTAGGGCGTAAAACAGCTGAACTGCCATCTCCTTGGATCCGGAGACATGACGGAGCCACAGAGAGAGCAGACAAATCCCTCACCCTTTTCTCTGATAGAGCCAAAAGCAGTACTACTTTGGCTGACAACAGTTTAAGGGGAACCTGATCAGGTTCAAATGGGGCTTTGCTTTAGTGCGCGTAACACCAAAGCCAAATTCCACTGAGGCGCCAGTGTGCGTGACACAGGTCTGAGTCTCCATACTCCTCGCATACAACGGCTGCTGCGCTCTGCGAGCCCCTCTGTTAATTTCGCCGGGAATATACATTGCTCTGATGGAGAGCAACGTGTGTGCGCGCCCAGAACAGCAGCCGCCTGGCTGCGTTCAGAAGCTGCACAGATCGTACTCCTCCCTGGTGATTGAGGTAGGCTGCTTCCACAGCCGTGGCCTGTTGTCTGTGCAAATCAACACATGTTTGATTGTACAGCAACGGGGCGACTCCCCCGTTCTTTTCCGAGATTTAGAAAAATAGCGGGAGTAAAAACCGCGCAAGACACTGTTCCTGGGATGACAGGAGTGTTTCTTGTATCCCATGGAACTGCTGGGGGGAGAGGCTTCTCTGTGATGTGCCGTAATGGTCGTCATGGTGACGAGCCACGCCATCGCCGCCGCCCGTGAGGCAAAAGGGCTGCGAGGGAGTTTCCACACGCTGCATTTCACTCCGTCTCTCATCATGAGGCGCGTACACGCCCAGAGGATGAGAGGTGTGTGCAGTGCTGTCCACACGAGGCGTTATAACGGTGCTCGTGGATTTATTATGACCGTGTGTAGGAGGCATATCTGGGACAGAGGAATGCCGCGAGCTCTGCAGTTTATAAACCAATAGGTTAAAACAGCAGGCTTCTGCAGCGAATGAACCACCTCTGGAGTGTCCCCCTGTTGGAAGAGACCCAGGGGATCATCACGTGACCAGCTGACGCCAACGCGGAGCAGCTGCGTCACGGAGAGGGCTGGGTGGGGACCATTCCCAAACCGCCCCCTACACCCTACCCCTCCGTTTGCGCGTTCACGCGGAGGGTCCGCCATATTGAGGTCTGTTCCAAAGCAACGAGTGTGGAGCAGTGTGGAGGGGGAGTGGGCTATCAAGCCCTCAACCAGCGAGTCTGCAGCGGTGCTGACTTGAGACCGGTCTCTACCTGACCGGAGTCACGCTGTGTGTGTCCGTCAGGAAACAAGCTGTTAACAAGTAGTTCCAGCAAACATCCACTGATAAACTGCGATGTTAACAACCTCATGATAACCTCATATGTTTTTAACTTAGGATCAAACCTGTGTTTAGTCTAGAAAAAGGTAAATGTGTGCATTTTATTATAAAGTTGTGTATATTTACAGACCATTACGAAAACTAAGAAGCTTATAAACATCAGGTTTAAAACTAAAAGAGCTTTGAAACACGATGAAAGATGTTTGGAGTTTTATTTGAGTTATTCATTTAAACTTTTTGTCAAAGAGATGCTGATTTGAAACCGTTGTTACATACAGTTACGGCATTTCCTGTTTCTGCCAGAGAGAGGGGAGGCCGTCCCAAAGCTTGCTGCTGTATTTACTCCCTCCATCTGACAGGAGGGAGCCTCGTTGAGCTGCGAGTGTGGCTACAGACGGAGTTCACTCCATCACGGAGGGGTAGGGTCGAAGGAGTGGTTTGGGATTGGGCCTGGGTTGTGACATGCCGGAGGAGAGCTGTCAGTTCCTCCACTCGCTGCCGCGAGAGCCGCGCTCTCCTGCTGGCTGAGTTTAATTCCACTCCCAGATAAACGTTTGTCTGAGAGGGAAGAGGACAGCTCTTCTTCCAATTTATTATGAAACCCAGGCTTTGACAGATGCGATACGAGATGTACCGTCTGTAAAGCGACTTCCTCCCTGGAGCGAGCCAGCAAATAGCAGGTCATCCAGAGGAAACCACCCTCTCATCCCTCCTCTGTGTTGCGGCTCCAGCCTTCTCGACCCAAAAATGGGAGGAGCCAGGAAATATCCGAACGGCAGACGATTGTCTGGTCTGATATT